TCCCTATGAACGTGCTGAACTCGAACAGACCAATCCCTGTGAAGTAATTCTTGAACCGCCCTAACCAAAGCCCCATGATGTCCTTCAGAACACTCCGTGTTGACAACCATGTTCGTGGCGCATTGACTATCAATCTCCACAATAACTCGACGATGTCCCCGTTCCCACGCCAATATCAGGCCCTGGAGAAGTCCCCAAAGCTCAGCTCCCGTTATCGTGCAGGCCCCAATGTTCATAATAAATTCCTCGATCCAACGACCCCTCTCATCTCGAATCAAACCTCCCGCACTACTCAAGCCCGTGGAGTGATTAAAAGCCCGTGAGATAATTATTTAGATCAACCTAAAATCACATACTACTTCTCAAACAATTTATTTCTCACCATACACAAATTTACGCTCAAGTTTAAACATACATAGAGAATCTAATCAATTATGTACCTTAACCGTTCTCGATGAAATATTCTATTCAAAAATTATTTTCAAATTTATGTATTATTTCATTAGATGAGTATAACACTACATCAAAATTACACAACAATCATTAAATAGATTGAAACAGAAATTGGACTCAAACAAGTAAATCTTGTAGAGTAAAACAACACTAACTGGCCCATACAGGAACTCATATCTGAGATGGTATTTAAAGTGAGAAGAAAATGACAAATACAAATAAAAGGCAATTATTTTAGTATCAATATGCAACAGTAACAAATACATTTGACCCAACATCAAATTAAAAGCAGGCCACAATCTACAAAGTCAACACTAAAAAAAATTAAAAAAAAAAAACCAAAGTCTTCATTATATAGATAGAACATTCATAGCTGTAGCGATTGATTTTTTCAAAGAGCAAATTAAGCATGTGGGGGTAAGAAAAAAATGACCACTGAAAATAAATAAATAAATTAGGCGCCTTCACTTTGATTTTCGGCTGCTCTTTTCTTGGATGCCAGATTGCGAGAATCTTAATCGAAGAACTTGAAGAACATCTTCAACTTTGACCCCTTTGAGGTTCAATAAAACCATGGCGTGATAGAGCACATCAGCCATTTCCGAGGCAGTCCTCGATTTATCCTCATTTTCCTCTAGTGTCCGGCACAACTCATCTGCCTCCTCTCTTTCAAAAGAAAAAAAAAAATAGATGGAAGGTATAGAACTCTTGTTTAGAACAATTACACAAACCAGTATTAAAATTGCAATTTACCAGAGAGACTTAAAAGTGATTACAAAAGGAAAAAAGAGAAGGAAAAAGAGATCCCATTTTCTGTTGAAAATCAAGAGGGTATTATAAATAAGTATATGTAGATGACATTTTGTAATTTCGTAAACAAATAGAGTTTTTTGTTTTTAGCACACCAGAACTTAAATAGATTATCACATGTAGAACAACAATCTGAGTAAAAACAATTTATTCTTCTAATCACACCTGATTTTTGAGCACAGTAACTTCTCATCAAGCAACAAACGTTTAGTCCAGGATGACTTTCCATCTGTGTCTCCAGACAATTCGTCTTTTCTTTTTGATATAGTTGACTCTAATGAGTACAAAGTTGTTGAAGCAAGTTTATTCCCATCAACCTACAAAAGAGCAATCAACACATACAAGGTGAGAAATAGTTGCATTTAAAGTGATGAATAATAATCATTAAACAACCCAAAACAGAAAACCAAAAATGACTTCTTTTCTTTAATTTCAGCTTTAAATTAAAGCCGTATAAAAGGGAAAACACAAAAGGACATGGCTCGACTGCCAACTACATATATATGATTAGTCACCTGTGAGTCATTTAGAACTTCATCAACTGATGTATAATAGCAAGTCTCGGCTCCAGTGTGACAAGTTGGGCCATCAGGCTTCCCAAGATATATTATCTGGTAAAAAAAAAAAAAGTAGCGGTTATCGTAATATCACAATATCAACACCAATGACAATCTCACAAGATCAACCAAAAATGACAAATATAGTCGATTACTTACAGAATCATGGTCACAATCAATAAAGATATCACACACATTGATGAAATTCATCGAGGTCTCTCCTTTTGTCCACAAAGTTGACCTAGACCGGCTATAAAATGTTGCCTTCCTGGAGGAAAATGTCCTCAAAAGGGCTTCTCTATTAGCAAACCCTTGCATTAAAACAGCTCCTGTGTCCACATTTTGAGCAATCGCCACTGCCAAACCTTTGTCATCCCATTTGACACTATTCAAAAAGTGATCAACCTATATTAATTTAGTTAGAAACAAAACAAAAATAAACATACCACAAGACAACTTCACAGTACAGACCAGATACTAGCACAATATAATACCTGCCCATAGCAAAAAACAGAGCAAAATATGTATTAATCAGCATTTCCATATATCAATAGGTGATTATTGAGCTGGGTGAGTATTTATCATATGACTATTTTAAACAATGAGCAGAAGTTAGCAAGATTGCTGGATATTGAAATAATATTCTTGATAAAATTATTCATGCAATAATTTACATTTTGTCAATAAATATAATAAAACATCAAAACCTTCCATACAAAATAAATTAATTCACCCAATTTGAAGGAAGAATTTACTTAATATGTGGTGATCAGATGTAGCTATGGTGATAATGAAATTATCATCTAGCAACGATGAACACTTGACTTCATATACCAGACTTTCAACGGTCAATGCAACCAGAAATGCATTAGACACCTGCCTTATGTCTGGAAAATCCACTTAGGTCAAATGATAGGAATCTTAAAAAAGCCAGGCAACATTTTATGGCTCCAGAGAAATCACGTTGAAACACTAATTCAAACTCAAAAACTACAACCAAGTAACTCAAATCACCTTACAACCAAGTACACATCTGATTGACAATTATTTTTTTTTAAAAAAAAAAAAATCATTGTCTCTTGATATGTATGTGGCATTCAGATGTAACTCAAGTAATCATTGAAGTTAGATCATCGAGCAACTATGCATGCTATATCTTCTTTACCAGACATTCAACGGTCTCCGCAACTGAGCTAGCGGTAGACACCTGCCTATGTCTGGTGAAATCCGTGAAATGGAATTTAAGTCATGATATAACCAATTAAGCATTCAAAATTAAGCAATGTGGGGTCCAGATGTAGCTCAAATAATTATAAGATGGAATTACTGGGCAACGATGAACACCTCCAAGAGAAAGCTCGATGACAGATGAGAAACCCATCAATCACCTACCGTTCTCCATAATTTCTTTCCCAGATATGTAACAGCATTCACCATTGGAAAATAGTGAACACCTGACTAACATCTGGTGTCCAAAACCAGTACACAAAATGGACTGGGAAAAGTAATGACAGCATGACCAACTAAGCATGAACTCTAAACCAAAACTGAAAACGCTTGAACCCATTATCAAAAATCTCAAAGATACTACCGTCCCATGTCAAGATATGTTACATTATCCTAAGACCATATACAGATGAAATTATCATATGCAGATATAAATAAAAGCCAAAGTCCAAACCCAGTTACCTTGGCTTCTAAATGTGAAGCTGGGTTGGACGCTCCAACACAAGCATATACAGGATTGAAGCGAGTACAGATCCCACTGGAGGAGCTAACAAGACCGTAATTTGAACGGACTTTTGGCAGTTGAAAGCAGTTTGTATACCGAACCGCCATCAATTTAAAGACCCTGAAAAGGACAATTAAAAGCACTTGAATGACCAAAGACACAAAGAAAGCTGAACCGGGAACTAAAATTAACTTCCCATCGTGCTGTAGCAGGAAAATGTAATAAGCAAATGCATAAATTTCCCAAATCAGCTAAAGGCTAAAGGCCCGATACAGAGATAGCAAAGAGAATTAAACTAAAAACTTCAACAGCCCAACGTTTTTCATAGATTTCTCCAAATAAATGTCTAAACTACTGACACCTCAGATCCCTAATCTGACAGACACAACAAAAGGAGCTGACAATACAAATCAACTCAAAGGCATACATGGCTCATTTTTTTTTCCCAACATTATAAAGGTTATTTCTTTACGTTATATGAACATTTGAAGGAAACCCAAATTCTGAAGCAAAAGGATCGCAGAAAACCCAAGGAACAAGCACATTATCCAAAATGTACCATCCTATAAATGGATAGGCACAATTTTTGCACAAAAATGTTACCTTTCTACCAAAAGACAACGAACGAGGTCTCGGTGAAATTCTCAATTCAAATCTTTGTTGTGACGGATCAGCGGAGAATTGAGAAGCAAATGAAGGGCATATTGAGGAGTGCAAAAATCCAGTCGCTGAGTTGTGTGCGCGCTTGTGTGGTTTAGTATATATAGAACAAAATTAGGGTTACGTTTGGGTACTTTGTTTTTTTTCTTGTATGATTGCTTGGATTCTCAACTCGCTTAAACCTTAAACTAAGATCTGGAATATCATAAAGCCCAACAGTATAAGCCCAACTAAACCTATCCCTATATCTCATGAAATCGGCCCAACAAAAAGGAAAAGCCAACTATGTGCCACGCGTCGCAACCACGAGAATCCTGCACATAACCCGATTTAGTAAGTTACAAAAACCGATCGACCAATTTCCATCCTGGGTTTCCTCTGTGTGTTGCTATGTGCCTCTGACTTTTTTTTTTTTCTTTGGTAGCGGGTATCCGGAGGTATGTCCCGACTAATCCGTTGATCGACTCAGGTCGCACACCTGACAGTGGTGCGTGAGTCTCCCAACAAGGATTTTCGACATCCACAAGAACTCGAACTCAAGACTTTGCTTAAGCGACATCAAACTGCTTACCACTTGAGCCGACCAATGTTAGTTATGTGCCTCTGACTTTAAACTATAAAACCAGCTGCTGCTCAACAAAACAACACTCACCGCCCAAAAATACCCCTTTTTTTCATGGGTAAAAAGTGAAAGAAACCAGCAGCGGCAGCGGTTCTCTTTCCTTTGGGCCCTTACTACTTTTCTGCTGCTTGAAATCAAATAATTTCCTCTCCCCCAAGAAACCTAAGGGGCCTATATGTACGTAACAAGCCCAACCAAACAATGTCCCTCTACCTGCTACCTCCTGTCCTGCATATATTTGGAACTCTGACTTTGATATTCTATTTTTCTTTTTGGCTTTAATCGTTTTATTAGTCTTCAAGAAATGAATTCCTGATTGAAACTGTCCTCTCAGTCATGACCTCAGTTGGCAGCTACCACGAAAGCTCGAAGCCTTCAGCTCAAAAGTCGTCACCTTTACACGATGATAATACCACACACACCACGAATTCCAACCTCGAACAAGACTCGTACCCATCGGACTGCGAAAGCGGGATTTGTGGGCCTGCAAGCAAAGGAGCCCCGTTAAGCGCCCTTGAAGTCGACTCATTCGAAAATCACAAATGGGAGGAGATTTGTGAAGCCATCGAGCAAAACCTCGTGTCGAGCTTGAGCGCTAGTGGGCTCGAAGTGCGGGTAGAGTCTGTTCGCAAGAACCGGTTTTCAGACGTTATGGGCCGCGCGAAAGTTGAATCCTTTAGCTTGTATTCGAGTGCTGTGAGAGTGAAGTGTGGTGGGAGTGCAAATGTGAAGTGTGCTTGGTTTGGTGCCTCCAAGAATGAGATTGATATGGTTATTTCCCATGGTTTCGGGCTTCACACGACTGGTCGAACGCGCGGTCAAGGGGTTTGGCTCTGTTTCGGTTAATCATCCTATTGAAGGGTACAAGCGTTCTTTGTTCTTGTCTTGGAACTTCTGTGATTTGTCAAAGATTATTTCAAGTGTTTGCTTGCTGAAGTCTAAATTGTAAATATTTATTTATGTTTGGTAATATCTATTCAGTGTGCATTCAGCTTTGCCTGATGAGGATGGCCTAAGACACATGTTGTTGTGCCGCGTAATATTGGGAAAAACCGAGGTAGTTTGTCCCGGTTATGAACAAAAGATTCCGAGTTCCAAAGAGTTTGATTCTGGGGTCGACAATGCCATGGACCCTAAGAAGTATATCGTGTGGACACCACGTCTGAACACGCATGTCTTGCCTGAGTTTTTGGTCAGTTTCCGAGCATTGTCCGTAAAGTGCAGAGGTAAAGATTAGTCACCGAGTCTTTTACATTACTCGTTTGACTTGTCCAAACATTGGTGAAAACGTAAATGTTTTGCGAATCCATCTTTAAGGGTGTGATTAGATATGAATTTGATTTGTTTTTTATTTGTTTTCTTGTTAACTTAATTTTGAAAAGATAGTATGGTTAGGTGTTAGTGAAAGTTTAAGTTTATATTAAAATAATATTTAAAATAGATAAAATTAAAGTTTATTTGGTGTAAAAGTATGAGAGAGATTATATAAAGTGATGATTTGCTAAAATTATGTGAGTGGATGAATATTGAAATGAAATAAAGTTTGATTTGATGGGTAAAGATGGTTGATTAGTATTATTTACTTATATGGATAAAATTGAGGATAATTAGTTGAGTTAAATTTGAGTTTTGATTATTTTTTACTAGACGAATTTATATCCAATCACAGTCTAAGTTACTTGAACTCAATTGTCTCAACTTTATATTCCAACATATACAACTTACAACTTTGATTTAATTTCTCATTCATCATAAAAATGATTGTTAAGTTAACAACTGGTTGAGAATTTTCTACGTTTTCCATTTATGAAAAATGTACCCAAAAAATAGGTACAAAACTAATTGTTCTTACGTATTGTTTTTTTATATTTGTATTAGAGCGTTATGTTCGTTTATCGGCTTCAAATTTGCAGGGTTCCAAATTAGACAATTGAGTCCAAATCGGTTGCCTTATCCGATTTTGATTAACATTCTTGACAAGTACTTACCTTCTGACGCGGTTGAATTGGTCACAAAACATCACGATGATTTTAAGGTACATTTTTCGTACTTTTTTATATCTTGGCTGATTTCGGACCATGAATATTCGTTATTTTCTTCATTGGTGAAGGGGTGACTTTTTCTTAGTAGATTTAATTTTCATTGTACAGAAAAAGAAAATAACGAGGACCGAACTGATTGAGCACACGAGACATATCGTGGGAGACAAGTTGCTGCTCAGAATCGTAGCGTCTTACGAACAGAAGGTATGTATGTTCCTAATATCCAATTCAAACTAAGATTCTAATTTCTGTGTAGTTAAGTCTTTGATGTTGCTTTTGTTTAGGTTGTTAGTTGTTGACCACTTACTCATACTGGAATCTTTTGAACACCAAGAAAAAAAAAAAAAAAAACAGTATATACTTAAAAGAAAATGTTAGATGAATTTTATAAGCTATTTTAGGCTGAATTTTATGTTATTTGCTTCAGATGAAGCATCATCGACCAGCGGCACTACAGCAAACATAGGAAATGATTTGAACTTTTCAGCAATCATAGGAATGATTTGAACTTTTTTCGCCTATCGAGGTACTATAGGATTCGGAAAGTCCAGCACATTGTATGTATTTCCTTAACGGCATGAATGTACTCTCAGAAATAGAACACTTTTAAGAGTTTTGCTTTTACTGTAATGCTTCTGTGAATTAATCATCATATAAGAGTATTTGTAAGCAGCTGTTCTGTTCTGGTTTGTGATATTGGTTTGATGATTGGTTCAAGGTCAATAAGTCTGGTTCGGGGTCCTTGATCTTCTTCTTGGCTCCGATATTTGATGCGTTGTTGAGAGAAACTTTACATAGTATCACAAAATAATAGAGCCTAGTTACTCATATTTGATGTGTTGTTAATGCGAAATGTTACGGTCCCGTTACGCAACCATTCTGGTTGAATTTGTAACCGTTAGATCACCATGTAACCGTCAAGGAAAGTTAACCTAACGGTTACAAACTCCGACGGAATGATTCCGTGACGGGATTGTAGCATCTCCGTTGTTAATATAGCTCTTTTGATAAATAAGGTGAATTCAAGTTTGTTTAAACTTTAAAGTCTTTTTAGTCGCTTCGATAATGCTTGAAAAGTTAAATTCTTAAATAATTTTATTTGGTTTGTTTAACATCGACAAACGAACTCGGCGAGTTGTTTGGTTCGTTTAACATCGACAAACGAGCTCGGCCCGACGACTCCATAATAAGGGCTTGAGGTCGAGTACCATCTACAAAAGCAGTAAGCTACAACTACAAAACCGATGATAAAGGTTTGAGGTCGATCATCTACAAAAGCAATAAGATACAACTACAAAACGTGGGCCTGACATTCCATCTAAACAATGGGCTGTATCATCTGAACAATGGGCTGTACGGTGGCCGGGATGGACCGCTGTTTTAGCCAGCACAATATTGGAGAGAATTAATTAATTATACTCTAGTGCAAGTTGGAGGACATGTCCTTTTCCACATTTAATTTATTTTTATCAATTAATACCTTTTTAATGAATAATGCGACATGTGATGATGTGAATATTGATTTATACACATGTACATTATAATTCGTTTAACATAATAGTCTTTTTTTTTTTCTTCAAACGATAATTACTATTATAGGTACAAACGGCAACTAAATTGTTGTAGGATCAACTGTCAGATAAATGTTTGTTAGATATATGTTTGGGGGACAAAAAACTTCCCAAAAAAGACTATACTAGTTTATAAAGAAAACTAAAAAGTTGCACAAGAGGATATTAACATAAAAAACAACAAAACAAGAGAATATACTAATAATAAAATAAACTAATGCCCTTCCCGACCACCAACAAGCTTCGCCAACTCCACCAACTGAGCCAACAAATTGAAGTCATACACAAAGAAAAACACTACCACAACTCCAAAATAACAACTTCAGAAACTCTCTCGACTCCGCGATGGTAAAGGTTATTCGGGTGTGACAATTTTGAACGCGATCTATTATTCAAAGCGGTAAAAAAAGATATAGCAACCGGACAAGAAAGGGTCGCCATCACATCTCCTCAGTTGTGAAAACCCGTCCGTCGACCGACAACAGAAGATAGGAGCCCAAGATGGGCCCATCCCTGCCGATGACAATGCCGAACGATCTCGAACGAGAGCTCGCAGGCACGAAATGGGTGGTGGTGGTGGCGCCATTGCCGGCTAGCGAAATTGTGGAGGCGGAGAGGCTGCGGAGATCTGCTTCGTTTTCCTTTTTTTCCACTTTTTTCCAGATCCCACGAAACCGAGTCGACTCGGTACACCCATGTGAGACTCATCATAAATATATTATAATGGGGATTTCAAGTTCAAGAGAAAAAGTTATGTACGTTTTGATTTTGAATTCAGCTAGCGAAAACTACTCGAACGATTTCTGTAAGAACGGGAGAAACATGTGTTGTCCCATGCACGTGAAGTGCACCATAAGAGAGACTCAGAGATGAGTCTAGATACACCTTAATGAGGTTCAGGGCCGGCCCATATGTCATGCTATCTCTATATATTTACAATTTTGCTATGGAGTCATCGAATGATTCGACTTATGGAGTCATCCACACTTACTCACCAATAGTGTATTGATACGTGCCCTTAAGTATATATATAATTTAGAATATTTATATAATATCAACAATTTATGTAAAAAGTTAGGTATTGTTTTGTCAAATTAATGTCTTAGAATATTTATATAATATCAACAATTTGTAAAGTGTTACATTTGATGGTGCTACATAAAACCATTTATGTTGTAGTTATATTTGGACCAGGGCCAAAAAATGTCCAGGACTTGCTCTGATGAATTTACATCCCAAAACCAATTGATAGTAGAAGTAGATGATATTGGATAACTCACAAATGATATTCTAGTACGCCCACTTGTGAGCCCTTCATACGAAACCCAAGCCCACGTAGGTCGGTTAACGGGGACGTCATTGCGAGAACCCACGTAGTCTGGCTCTGATACCATGTAAGAAACGGGAGGAACAAGTACGGTCCCATGCACGTGAAACACACAGTAAAAGGGTGAACCTAGATGTACCTTAGGGTGATTCTTCCCAAAATCAATTCGTTGTAGGAGTAGCCCACTAAACTTATAAATTATGCATATTTTCCATGTATAAACGATGTGAGACAACTCGCAAGTGATATTCTAATGATTTCAATAGCCAAAAACTCGTCTTCTATTCGCACCACACCATTAGTTTAGCTAATAATGGTATATACACATTTATGAACACTATTATTCAAACCATATAATTAGTTTACCTTATTTTCATTCATCTTATGATCATCCGGCTTCCGATGCTTGATCCCAGTGGCGGGTCACTTAACTTTCGACCTCTACGACCATTCGGTGTTCAATGTTGACTCCAGTGGCGAGTTGCTCTATTTTTCACTCTTGAATCGAGTTATGCTCACTCGACCAGAGTGGGGGGATTAGATGACATAGCCACGGCTAGTACTGCCGGCTCGACCGGTAGTATCTGATATAGCATGTCGTATCCGACCGGTTTTTATGGATATATATTGAAGAATACGTCTATCCATGGGCTAAGACACTTGATATGACAATATAGGCCGAGCCCAACCTGGGCCAGACCCAACATGGACTATAAGGTACACTCCCCCTATAAAAAGGGGGAGAAGGTACTCATTTTATTCATTCTCTCCTCATTCCATTACTACTCTCTCTCTGTACACTCTCTCCCTACTCTTTCTCTATGCATTCTCATATGAATCCAGTACTGACTTAAGCTTCGGAGGCCCAAAGCCGGGCACCCCTCCCGGGGTCCCGGACTTTGGGTTCTGGCAGGTACGGTGGTCGTCCGAGTCGAGGGAGCCCGGGTGACATCTTTGTCCTATCATCTTATTTCTATCATGTAAAGGCCAAAGTTGTAGCCAAATAATTCTAAGGCATTAATGTTAAACCAGCTTCTAGCTCATAAGCGCATGATTGACATGTTTATTTCGACGTAGGCTTAATTATTGTAAAAGCATAATATTTCAAATGCATGTACAGCATTAATTCACTTTCACTAACTAGTTAAACCTTAGGATTGCAGCATCCAATATTTTTCAGCTAACCATTAATTAATTTTCTTTAATGTCTTGGATTGCAGCATTAATATGGATTTTTATAATATTAGAAATAAGGTAGTCACATGCGCATTTATTTTGTTAAGAGTTAAATTAAAATAAAATCCAGATTTATTATGTACATAGGGAAGTCAACTTCGCGGCTGACCATATGGCGACCTTAGCCGCCTATTTCCAGGTAGGCTTGCAGCGGATATCGTCACCTCCCCAAGAGTTGGGTGAATGGCTCGACCACAGCATCCGTAAGGTATCTTACCTACGTCATGTTCTAGTTTCGTAGCTTCGCGCCTCTGGCCTCCCTTTATGTACCAAAAAAATAAATAAATAAATAAAATCCCAAGTTGATTTTTTTTTAAAGGAAAAAAGAATACCCATCAATCAGGATTGAATTTCCCATTTTAATCAGCTGTTTCAATGAAACGAGTAACCTTGCAATAAATATATAGGCTGTTAGAGTATGTCACATTAATAAAAAAAAAAAAAAAAAAAAAAAAAAAAAAAAAAAAAAAAAAAAAAAAAAAAAAAAAAAAAAAAAAAAAAAAAAAAAACCATCATCTGATCAAAACGAACAGACAAAGCATTTGCCCAAACACTCAAAAGCCCATTATCTTGTTTTCCTACCTTTACTTGCTAGCGAAGTACACTTGATTGTGTAACTTGGAAATTCAGCTACACATACATAATTAATTAATGCATTCATTCAATAATGTGACAAACAAGTATAATTAATTAATTACAATATATATGTATCATATATATGCACTCCCAGTTTTGCTATGAAGTCATCGGATGATTCGGTTTATGGAGCAATCCACACTTATTCACCAATAGTGTATTGACACGTGTCCTATAATAAATACAATTTGGACAGATGTCAATATATTAAGTGATGGATGACTTCATAAGAAAATCATCTGATAACTCCATAGAATTTGTGTATGCACTTAATGTGCACCACACCACCATGTACCTTGAATAACTTGGTGATGGAGATAAGGATGTTTAGAATCTTTAATTATTATTATTATTATTATTATTATTATTATTATTATTATTATTATTATTATTATTATTATTATTATTATTATTATTATTATTGTTAGTGGTATTATAGATTTGTTAGGAAACTTATTATTTATCACTTTTGTTAGGATTCTTGTCTTGTTAGACAAGTTAGTATTGCTAGGATTCTTGTCTTGTTGGACAAGTTATAATTAGGGTTTATGAGCCTTATATAAAAGACTCACCCTCTTTTGTTATCTCAAGTTGATTCTGAATGAAAAAAATATATTGTTGAGTTTTACGTGTTTTACGAGAGAGTATCTCGTTTACTCGTTTATCTATCCCAATCATACGCTTTCCCTACATCAGTTGGTATCAGCAGTCAGTACGATTCGCGATGTCGCCGGGACGAGAAGATGCCGTAAACGAACAACGTGATGCAACCTTCAACGATCGGTTTCAACAGATTGATTACCGATTTCAAGAGTTGGACGTGCGTTTCACGGATTGGTTTGCAGATCTTTCCACGGGGATCGAGGATGTGTGTTTGACGCCGAACAACGTGACTGTTACGGATTTGCAGATGAACCGTGCCTCCGGCGACCGGGGTGTGCGCGGTGGAGTTCACGGAGGAAGTGGAATTCGTGGTCCAGGCGGGGCGCCCCGTCGACGATCTCCACAACCACCGTCCGGCGATGCAGACGGTGAGGAGACCATCTTGGAGGTGGATCCCTTCGGAGAGTGGCCGCCTCCGCCCGTCGAGACTAAGCTCGTTGCTGCACACAACGGCCAACAAGGTGTGTTTTTTAGGAGAATGACGGACTATTGTACGACGGTCCGCCTATTTTTGATAAGGAGCCACTTGTGGCGTCGATGGAGGACGAGTACCATGTGGTTGTAGAACCATCTGTGAGGCCAGAGGTTGTGCCTGGAATGGATGTTTTCGGTGAATTGGAAGATGGATTTTCATGGTCTTTTATTCAAAAAGCATATGTGTTTGATAACTCGCATAGTGTGCCCAAAAAGGACAAAGTGGAGAGTTGCTGCCATAGATTTTCTGCTTGTGAGTATACCAAGTTCATGGCCCATCAAATTGGCCCGGTTGGGATTGTGGAGTAGTTGAAGACGAGATTACTTCGGATTCGAGGGCGAATCCTTTTCGACAGGGGGAGAATGATGGAGATAAGGATGTTTAGAATCTTTAATTATTATTATTATTATTATTATTATTATTATTATTATTTATTATTATTATTATTATTATTATTATTATTATTATTATTATTATTATTATTTGATATGAGATATTATACCCAATAGGCTGAACTGGTCTATGGACCGGTTGAGGAGGTCATATTCTGAAGAAGTCGAGGGAATCGAGCAGTCACTCAGTCGACCAAGCAAAGCTGTCGACCAAACTATTCATCAACCAGATAGGCGATCGAGCATTCTGTTCGACCTCAACAGGTCGATTATCTCGAGGACTTGACACCACGCCATTCGGCCTGGTCATAGGCGCGTGAAAGAAGCCTCTGACAGAATACCAGGGGAATATTTACCCCATGTGCTGGGGGACACGTGTCGAGAACGCAGTGGTGGATGGCGATAACCACCTCTGACAGCCTACCC